CTATTTTTCATCTGGTGGTGGACAAGGTTAAGGCCAAATGCCTTGGGTGGCAACGTCGGTTGCTATCCAAGGGGGGGGGGGGGGGGGGGGGAAGCGGTTCTTGTTATTTCTGTTTTGCAGGCTATACCTTTACATCTCTTTGCAGCTTGTGCTCCTGCTAAACAGGTTATCCGTGATCTTGAGCGGTGTTTCGCGAGCTTCTTTTGGCGGCAGTCGGGAGGTGCACGTTACAATTGGGCGTCATGGAAAACGCTCTCCCTCCCTAAAAAAGAAGGTGGTGTGGGGTTCCTTGACCTGGACTTAATGGTACGTGCATCGAGTGCAAAGCTTTGGTCAAATTTTCACAAGGTGTATTCACTGTGGGGAAGTTTCATAACTGCTAAGTACTGCCGCCGAGTTCACCCGGTGGCAAAATCAATGTGAAGTTCCAACTCACACACTTGGAAGCGGATGCTCAGCGTCAGGAATGAGGTGGAGGCAGTCTTGGGATGGCGCCTGACTCACGGCGATGTTAACCTTTGGTGGGATAACTGGTCTGGACTTGGCCCACTAGAGCGACTTTACCCCTTCCCGGGGGTTGAGAACTCTGGTGATTTGCTGTCTGACTTCATCTAGGACGAGGAATTGGACTTGTTGGCCTATGATGACCTTCTGCCGGCTGGGTTGGAGGCTGACATGTTCCGGTTGGATCAAAGAGTGGCTGACATTCCTATTTGGCGGGTAGCTACAGACGATTTGTTTTCTTTCTCTTCTGCAAAATCATTATTAAGACCTAAACCGGTGAATTCTGATCCTCTTTTGAGGACATGTTGGCATAAGCACCTGCCCTTTAAGGTGTTCTTTCTCGTTTGGCGTGTATTACGGGGCCGTTTTCCCACTAATGATGCCATAGCTAGATTTGGGCACCTTATTGTTTCCAGATGCTGGTGCTGCAGTAACCCTGCTAGGGAGACAATTGATCACATCTTTTATGCGGGGGACACTGCCAGGGCTGTATGGGATCACTCGGCTTGCGATTCAGTCATCGGGGTCTACGGACGATGTTGACTAGGTGGAAGCACGTGGTTTCACATAATCGTCTTGTTGCTTTTGTTGTTTGCAGGTTGCCTTATCTCATCCTTTGGGAGTTATGGAAACACAGGAATGCATGCTTGCATGGCAAAGGACCACCGAGTGTGCCTCGAGTGGTGTATGACGTTGCCAAAGGGGTGGCAGATTGTCTCTTTAGGCGATGGCCGCGGGAACACATTCTACTACCAAACTGGTCTGTCATTCTGTCCTATATAGATTCCACTGTCCCGCGATGTGTGGTTCGTGCTATTAGATGGGATCCCCCTCCGGATGGTTCTATAAAGCTCAATCTCTCATATCGGAGTCGATGGGTGGGACTGCTGTCTTGGTACATAACCGGGGGGTGATTTTTGCTACGGCCTGGCCATTTTAGCAGTCGACGGGTTTTGGGATTTTGTTCATGTTATGCACCGCTGTCTTGAATGGTGTTTAGCCGGGGTTTTTAGGTCCCTGATCCTAGAGTCTGTATTGCCTGAGCTTAAGGGCTATGTTGACCCCTCCACTCCTAGTCCATGGGTTTTTGACTCTGAAGTGTCACGACTCCGGTTTCTTTGCTCCTGTGCATCAGTTTCTGTTCTTCAATGTTTGCCGCAGGGTAATCTCCATGTGGCTGCATTGGCAGATTGGGTTGGGGATAAGGATAGGGAGTTTATTTTTCTTAATTTGTTTGACTTACCACCGAGGGTGCGTGTTTTGCTTGTTCATGATGATGTCCCCTCAGTATTTTTTTAGGATTATGACCCACCTTGAACTGAGGCTCTGGTTTTCTTGATGTATTATGTTTTGTTGAAATATGAATCAGAATTGAAAAAAAAAAAAAGGGGGGGGGGGGGAGAGAGAGAGAGAGAGAGAGAGAGAGAGAGAGAGAGAATGAGAAAAATGAAAAGGAAAGAAAAAGGAAAAAAAAATGAATGAATTACAAAAGATGGGAGGAAAGAAAAGGAAAATTAAAGAAAACAAAAGAAAAGAAGAGAGAGAAGGAAAAGTACTCTGCTTGGAGGCAATGATGTCTTGGCGTTTGTCAGGACTAGCCTCAACAACGCAGGTGTCAGCGGTACAAGAGGCACCCTAGTCCGGACTGAACGGTGGCCGGTTAGGATTTATCAAATCCGTTGACCTAGTCAGGCTTGCTGCTGGCCAATAGTAGCTGAGTCCATTCTGGGCTTCGGGTGGGACGGGTCATATATGATGGGGGTTGCCTTGTTGTTCGTGTCTGCCTGTTATTTCCTTATACACTACCTATTGAAACATGATTATGAGCTGTTTTGGTTTAGGAAATGTGGCGTTGCTTGTTCTGTCACGTTTTCATTTCGCAGGACTTTCCTTGGCTTATGAGGTATTGCTGGTCTTAAGCTTGTTTGGTTTTGCCCTTGTGGGTTTCTTTAAACAGACCACGCCTCAACGTTGGTGCAAGCGGTAAGAAATTGCATCCTAGCCCGGGCTGAACGGTGGCCGGGTAGGGGTTTATCAAATCCGTTGGCAATTTGTCCAGGCTTGCTGCTGGCCCATAGTAGCTAATCCCGTTAGGGTTCTGGTTACTTACGATATTGGTGCTGCTTGGGTGGACTGATGATATTGGCTGGCCCCCCTGTGTTTTTTGGGCCTGCATGCCTCCTTTGTGATTTGTTTGCCTTGTGTTGATAGTTGGGCAGCTGTTGTTGTGTATTTCTGCCCTTGTGAGATAGCCCTGCAGCAGCCGTTATGCTGCCGGATATCTTACAAAATGGGCTAGCATTCCTGGAGGTTTTGGCCAGCCAATAGATTTAGTTTGACGAGACGTGGGCGTGAAGAGTTGCGGCCGTGTTGGCGCTGTTGCATCGATGGATTGTGGTGCAGAGCCGTGGCATTGCAACTTTGTAGTGGTGCGGCATGGTGGCGCACTAGTACATGGTGGCACGCAAGTGCATCTATTCTCCTAGAAACAGCCGTTATGCTGCTGGTTCTTGCGAAAATTGGTGCGACGCCGATAGGGGATTCTGCGCCTCCATTTCAGCACTCCTTTTTATTTATTTATTTTTATTCATTTATTATTCCTTTGATCTGGCCTATTAGATGTGCTTGGGTCTATTATTTTATTCTTTAGGCCTGGCCTGTTAGGGCTTGGGTCCATTCTTTATTTTAGTTTCTTTATATTAGTATAAGCCCAATCTCAAGGGCTGTGTATGTGTTATGGTCACTTTTGGACCATCAGTTGTAAGACATTTTAATTCCTTTGCTTAATAAAGTTTTGAAAATAAAATTTCACATATTTGAGTATATATTATACAATAAAGTTGTAATTATATCAAAATGATCATGTAGTTGTGTTTTAATAAAATTATAGTGTGTATAAAATAAAATTAATTAACATTTTCACATATTTGAGTCTATAAATATCGAATGAAACTGTAGTTATACCGAAATGAAACTGTAGTTGTGTTGAACTGAAACTGCAGTGTATACAAAATGAAACTGAATAACAGAGTTACTTTTTGGGAAGGGGGCGGAACGGTGGAAACAAATGCCGTTTCTTAACGACATCGTTTTAATACACAGTGCATAATCGATTATGCACCGCGGTGCACGATATAATTTGCCAATAGTTATGCTGTACAACTGTGTGCACCATGCAAAACGACATCGTTTTGACTAAAAACGCGCGTCCCATTTAAAAAAAAAAAAAAAACCAGGTTCGATTCCCCTCAACAGCATTATGTTGTTCATTCATTGTGGATTTTTAGTTCATTCATTGTGGATATTCAGTTCATTCATTGTGGATATTTAGTTCATTCATTCTGAATTTTGTGTTATTCATTCACTGTGGATATATAGTTATAAATTTGTGGATATATAGTTATGAATTTGTGGATATATACTTCAAATTATGCACAAAAAAATGCTATTGCCGGGAATCGAACTTGATTTTTTTTTTTAAGTGGGACGCGCATTTTTAGTCAAAACGACGTCGTCACAGCATAATTTGCGATAATTTGCCCACTCTAAATGATTGGGCCGATCAAGTTACAAAATGTTGTTGGGCTATTAATTACATATTTTTTATGGCCCAATATTACATGTTTAGCCCATGATTCACAATTAATTTTATATAAAGAAATAATAGTTTAACCAAAAATATTTAATATTTTAGACAATTTGGAAGTTTGAATGCATTTGACTTCATAATTCAAATTCCTTTGAATTTGAATTTCAAATGTGGGGTGGATAGTGTTTCTCATGCTATAAAGTATAAATAGATGTCTCATTAAGTAATTGAAGTGTTCAAACTTCAATTATTTCAAGTATTTCAAGTCTAAGTACTCCGATTCAAGCATTTTTATTAGCGATCTTGAGTTTCAAGTATTTCAAGCTCGACTGTTTAAAACTCAAGCATTTCAAGTGTTGAGTTCGTTACATCTAGCCAAATTTCTTCGTTGCAAAGTCTTTCAAGTATTTCAATGTTCTTTAAGTTCAAGTATTTCAAGTACTCATGTTCAAACATTTCAAGTAATCTCGAGTATTTCAAACTCGAGTAATCAAGTGCAAGTATTTCAAATACCAAGTTCGTTGTAATCGAGCCAAATTTGTTTGTGGGGACGTGTTTGATCTTCAAGTAAATTTCAAGCAAACGATCAAATTTTCCCGAAGTGTTTAAATCAAGAAAAGAATCAGAGAATTTCTTCAGAGATTATTATTGTACCCATATTACACAATTATACATTGTTTACCTTGTACCAAAATTCCAGTTACACTTGAATAATTTATCTGTGTTAACAACCATATAAGAGATAAATACTTGCATTTTACTCATGGTAAATACACATGTATTTATAGCTAAATACAAATAGAGGAAAGTTAAGCAAATAAATACAAATAAATATAAACTCCTTGAAGCCAAGCACCTTGTGCTCAGATGGCATGTAGTAACCTCTCGCATATGGGAGGTCTTCAAGTATAACAATAGAAACAAATCACATTGATCATTGATGGCAGAAGCACCATACATGTTGATGATTGAAAATTGGAAGTAGAACATATAATGTGAAGGAAGCTACATACTTTAATTTGTAACAAAACTAGCTAACCATCACTTTATTTCACTTATGCAGATCAGACAACGTAACATTAATTAATTATATATTATGAATTAAGCCCACTTTGCCATGAGAGACATCCCGCCAGCACCCAAAAGTACAGCAGCAAGAGATTTGAACTGCAACTTGATGCTTCCCTGCATCTTTGGGCCCATGAAATCTGCAGCAAGAAGATCCACTAAAGCCATGTAGATGAGAAGCCCAGCGGATGAAGCATTGAGCAGCCCCACGGTGATGAGAGCGCGTGGGCTGTTTTCTCTGTATGTGCTTGACAGTGCTATGCCAAGTGCAATTCCAAAAGGAGTTGTCACTGAGAAGAAAAATGCCATCACCACCTTCTTCACCAATTTGTACTCAGCCTGCAACAAATTTAATTTCAATTCTTCATCTTTTTCTGGATGGAAATATTTATTATGGCCGTGTTTGGTAAAATAATTAATCTAAAAGTCAATTTTGGCTTATTTGACCACTATTAGCTTTTTGAGAAAAAAAAATTATACCAAATAGCTATCAGCTAACAACTAATTTACAAAACACATTTCTACAATCAGCTAATGTTATCAACTAGTTATACGCTCTAGTTAATGCAATCAGCTAGCAGCTAACAGCTAACCCAATCAGCTAGCAACTAACAGCTATCAGTTAACAGCAGGGCCTATATATATTTGTTTTTATTAAATTATAATGATATACCTGCAGGATGCAGCCTCCAAGACCCATTCCTTCAAACATTTGATGGAAGCAAAGGGCAGCCACAAGTCCTTTAATGGTGCAAGTGTTGTTTGATGCTCCAAGCCCAAGCCCTATCACTACTGAATGAACAATGATTCCAAGCTCTAGCACCTGCGGGCATGCATTCATAATTAATTCTTTTATTTTTCCTAAATTTTATTCACTTAATTCACGCACCGTATGTAAGTCTTAACAAATTTATTAATTAAAAAAAATTTAATTACTTACTCATTTGAAGTTAGTACATACGATGTGTAAAAAAATAGCATCTATTCTAAAGTCAATAATCAATTTATTAACATAGTGAATATTGACATAAGACCGGTACGGTAGTTAGTTTTTGTACGTTTTTATTTAAAAATGGTATATATTATAAATTAATTGGTTAAATATGTTGGGATTGTGTCAACGAGAGCAGCCTATTAGTCTACTTGTGATCATTTGCCGGCTAAGATCATAAGGTGGGGTTTAGCCATTACACACTCTCAAGTAGTAACTATGGATTTCTCTCACCCAAAAAATGTGTTCTTATTGAAATATGTTGCAATTTTTTTATTAAATGAGACAAGAATACAATCTTACATGAATGCATTATTCCATGTAACCCGCATGGCCGGGTAGCTCAATTGGTCATAGAGGTGAAAGTTGGAAAGAATGACTAGGGATTGAGTCTCACCAGCGGCACAGTGTAGGAACAACCTCTCAAAGTGCGCAATAAACAAAGGTCCTCTCAGATGCTTTGTCAGGGTGGGGTTCACCCTTTTGAAAAGAATGAATGCATTCCCATTATAATATAAGTGGATGACTTTCAATGCAGATTAAATATATATGGAGTAATTATATAATTTATTTGTAGTTGACATAGCAGTTGTCATATTTTCATCTTCCTAATAAATAAATAAATAAATAAAATATATGATTATGTCTAAGGTCACAAAATATAATGCAAACAGATCAGAAGCCTCATTAACCGAACTCGACACAAAAATGGGATGGATGGAGTATTTTTTTTTTTGCAATTGAACAAAATATACAATGAAAAGTAGTCTCTCCCGTAAAAAGGTTAAATCTCCACCCTAAGAACTCTTCACACTCTAACATAACTGAGCATTTTGAAAGATTTAAATCACAAATAATTTAATGGCTTACCACAATAGCATATGAGTTCAAATGAAAAGTAGTCTCCTTTCCATATCTAGCTAGCACATGCTTACTAGGACTTATTATGTGGTAATTAATGTGCTTTGTTGTTTTATCCTAAAAAAAAAAAATTAAAAAAGTTATTTAAACTAACCATGGCAATCACGCGCTTGCGTAGAAGCATAGATCCATCATCTCCATCGTCTTTACCGAAGGCGACAGATCCATGGTGGTGGCCGTGAAACTGAAAATTATTATTCTCGCCGCCGCTTACTGCCACTACTCCCATCTCACGATCCCCTTCTGGCACAACATGGCCGCCGGCTCCGGCGCTATGCTTCTTGGCGTAGAAACTAGTCGCCATTGAGTCAATAGCCAGCGTCACAATAGCCGACAGCATTGCGACGAATCCAGTGAACGGAAACTTGTGCCACGGGTTATCCTTCAAGCAGGCGGAGGACAACATATCGAAGGAGTCGGGGAGCACGTGCATGAAGCCGGTGGCGAGGATGATCCCCGACGCGAACGCCTTCACGATCACGAAAAGGCTCCGGTCAGGGCTGAGAGCCGGCACCGACTTGGTCACCAGCGGCAGGCAAACTCCGATCATGCTCGTGATCAGAATCGACACAATGGCTATGATTTTCAGCTTCAGCGCTTTCGTCTTGTTGTTGCATGAGTTGTTCGCCTCCGCCGCGCATTCGTCGGATTCCGATAGGGCTTGAGGGGTGAGAAGGATGAAGATGGTGACGAAGAACAAGAGCTTTAGCGACGATCTTCTACTGTTCTCCATTTACTTAGCTTAATTTTATTCGGCTAAGCTAAATGTGACTACTTTGTAGTAGCAGTAGTGGGGTTTTATTATTTTTCTGAGATTGTGTGATTGTTTATGTCCATCTAGATTGGATTCATTGATCTATTTATATGTATGATTCAATTTTAATTTATTTTTATATATGTATATGTTTTGGTACTCTACGTACAAAGGTACAAAGGAACGCTGATCAAGTACAAGTCAAATTGGACTTGGGAGATGGGAAGAAGTGGCATGAATTGGCATACTTCAATTTTTATATTCGTTTGTATTGCAACTATTTTTTTTTCTTTCAAATTAAAAAAGTATATCCATGATGAGTGGGTAAATTTGTGACAATTGGTAGATTGGGCATTAGGGTTTTTATTTTTTAAGAAAAAAAACATTATTTAGTGTTATGGCTAATTCCACTTTAATTGGTTGATAATTTAATTCATATATATTCTATTACATTTAATACCTTCAAAATAATTAGATTTGACACCTAATTTTGAAATTTTCACGTTTTAGCCTTAATCATAAAGTGCCAAATTTGGTGTAAATTTCAATCATTGATTTATTCATTAAAAAATTAAATGGCTATGATTTTTATCAATTTACTAACAATAAACTTGATTTTTCATGAATAGAACATCAATAACAAAAAAAAAAAATAATAATAGGGCGCTAGTGAAGCTAAAGTTTTAGTATCAAAATATTTGTAATATTTGTAAGAGTTGAATGGCTAAAGAATATGTCCAAATAAAAAAAAAAAGAAAAAAAGGAAAAAAAGAAAAGGACTATATTAATTATCAATTGATGGTAAGGAGATGAAATAGGCGACAGAAGGATAAAATTTGATTCACAAATAATAATATATAAGATAGTTCAACATCTTATCTGCAGCCTGCAGTACAGACTTTGATCAGAAAAAATAAATATAAAAAGGCCGGAGGCCAATTCAAGTAGACAAATTTCATTAATTTAATTATGATACGTATTGTTATTTCGTCGCATTTGTTCTGTTTTGTCACTATTAGATAAAGTCAACAACGGAATAAATGGGGTAAGAGGTAGCTATAGAGATGAGATGAGACAATTCTCCTACCTTTACCTGTTTTTGTTTTTTATATCAATTTATTTTATTAATTATTAGCCAACTGCAGATATATTCATGCTGCTCTTGCATGCCTTTCCAAATTATTATCATGCCACTGAATTGATTTTTTTTATATCTATTTCTATTTCTCACCAAATTCTCTTGTCATTTATTTTTGTTCTCATCAACACATCATGTTGGAATTTGGAAATATATATATATATATATATATATATATATATATATATATATATATATATATATATATATATAGAGAGAGAGAGAGAGAGAGAGAGAGGGGGGGAAGGATCAGGTGCGAGGAGGACTTCCCGTGTGGTTGTGCAGGTGGACGCACATTAAGCATTAAGCTGACGCACTTTAAGTACACAACACACGCACATTAAGCACACAACCAAAACACCTTAAGAACACAAACACACGCACCTTAAACACAAAACTCACGTACCTTAAGTACAAACGCACGCACCTTAAGCACAAAACACACGCACCTTAAGTTTAAACAACTACTCACATTAAGCACAAAACCCACGCACCTTAAGCACAAAACCCACGCACCTTAAGTTTCAACAATTAAGCACAACCCCACGCACCTTAAGCACAAAAATCACGCACCCTAAGCACAAGACTCACGCACCTTAAAACCGTACAACCGCACGGAAAACATTCACACACACTGGAACTTAATTATATATATATATATATATATATATATATATATATATATATATATATATATATATATATATATATATATATATATATATATATAAATTCCCTAATTTTATTTTATATATATTATAATTCCAACAATATAAATAATAATTAAAGAAATTATATTGGAAAACCGAAAGATGTAAATTTTAAATTTTGTATGAGTAGATTTAATTTACACATTAATCAAACATATGCCATTATATGATTGTATAAAATCATTATTGTATGGACTGTGACCTACATAGTTTTGTGGATCACGATTCAAAAACACATAAAGTATACTATTTTAACTCATTAAATATATTTTTCTAACACATAAAGTACATTATTCTAACTTATAAAATACATTATCTTACCATAGAAATTTCATTATTCTAACATATAAAGTATATTATACATTATTCTAACTCATAAAATACATTAATCTAACACATAAATTACATTATTCTAACTCATAAAATATATTATCTTACCCCAGAAATTTTATTATTCTAACACATAAAGTACATTTTTAATTTTTCTAACTCATAAAATACATTATCTTATCCCAAAAATTTCATTATTCTAACTCACAAAATATATTATCTTACCGCAAAACGTTCATTACTCTAACACGTGCGCGGAGCAAGAAATTTTTTTTTTTCAAACATCAAAACAACGTCGTTTTGGACCGTGATCCACACAGCTGTGTAGACCACAGTGCACACAATAATTTGCCGATTGTATACTACATTGTATTTGCACATAATATTTATTAACTTGTATTTTGAAAATTTTTTAATTTAATTTCACAAATTATAATTTATATGGCTAGATTTATAATTAAGATAATTATGATAAAAATTAAATAATTAATATTTTAATTTTGTATGATTAATATAGTGCATAAGTATGTGTACGTATTTAACTAGATTTCTAAATATTGATGAAGACACATTTAATTAATTTTATAATTTCATTTCCGTAATTATATTTCATATTGCCTTAATTATAATTAAGGAAATTGCATTTAGAAATTAAAAGAATTTTAAGTTTTAAATTTGTAAATGTTAATGTAGTCTCTAACTCTATGTACATTGTTAGGAACAAATGTAATTTAAATTTTGATGATACCAAAAGGAGTTTTTTCCCAAAATGGTTCCTCAACTATTGCTCATTCTTAATTTTGCATTTTGACTTTCAATTACACTCAATGTGTTCCCTTACTTTTAAAAATTCACCTAAAGTGGTCATCGGCTAGATTTTGCGTTAACTCAAAGTTAAATGTAAGGCTATTTTGGTCAGTTCACATCGTTGCGGAAGGCAAGTACCAGCGTTGACCGCCGATTAATTTGATGTCCGAAGCGACCGTCGATTAATTTGGTGTGGAGAAGATTCTGCACTACCGGCTCTCTTTCTTGAGCTGTTCTTTGGCGACAACCCGCGGCGAGAAGATTGCAAGCGTTTTCGCAGTAGCGGAGCATCGCGGCCACGGCGCTCACCTCCACGGTCGAGAGAAGCCACCGCCGTGGTATTAACTGTGGCGGAATGCACAAGCGCGTCGAACACCGGCTCTGGCAACTCAGACCTCGCCGACAACCCCCCGTCGCCGGAACGACGTCTTTGCCGGAGAAGAAACTCAAGGCAAACGCAGGGTGGAAACATGAGGAGACGCCGCTAGCATAATTCCTAGACCCTGTTTTTGCAGAGAAGGGTGGTAAACTATATGAGCTTTGCTCCGTTCTTCATTCTCCTTCCTCTGAACAAGAGAGAGAAACCGAAGCCCAAGAGAGGGATAGAATAGAAACGCACAAGGAAATAAGGAATTGCTTTCTAACTCGTTTGGATATTCTCGAGAGCCGCACTAAAAACAGTGGATTTTTTAGCAGAAGGCTAGAAACACCAGTTCCGGCGACTATGGCGTTGCTTTCCCTCTCTTTTACTTCAACTCCCAAGGCGGTGATGTTGAGTTCTTCCTCTTCATCGACGACTTCATCCAGCGCTGCTCGCTGGCCCAGCTCCCTGCCGACCACCACATACCTCCGCTTTTGTGGTGCTTCTGCCGACACAACGTTGCTCAAAACCAACTCGGAGGAAATATCCCGAGGGAGCTTGGAATGCTTACTTTGTTGGCTGAAATTCTTCTTTGAAATTGTTATTTGGATGTGAAATGACTGAAATATCCTCACAATTAACGTTGAATTGACGCAACCCTAACGGAGACCATTTTGGGTGAGTTTTTAAAAGTCAAGGGACCACATTGGGTGTTATTGAAAGTCAAAATGCAAAATTGAGAATGAGCAATAGTCGAAGGACCATTTTGGGAAAAAACTCATACCAAAAGTCAAGGAATTTTAGTCTCCAATTTCTTTATTTCATAGATTTAGGAACACCTCTACTGAATTCGAATAGTCTGAATTATAAACCGAATAGTTACGTTTCAGATAGCTAGAGACAAAGTTTCGAAGAGTTGAAGACCACAAAAGTTCGAGAAGGAGGGTCGAAGAGTAGAAGATTTCAATACCGAAATGTTGCAAAGGCCGAATGGTAGAAGGGCTTACCTTTCGAGTAGAAGGGGATTTAAGTAGTAACTCGAATAGTAAGGACAACTATTCGAAACAGAAAGGTTGCAAGTGTTAAGGTTCAAATCGTTAACTCGAATAGTGACAGTTACTACTCGAGACATTCTTTGAGCAAATAGTTAGTTACCTTAAAACACTAGTGCTTTATGAGAAAATGTGACAAAGGCAAAGAGAGTCCTAGGTACATTTTCCAAGGGAGATTTTCCTTAAAAAACATAGACATTTTCTACAGAACAAAAAGTAAAGTTCGGCCAAAATGGTGGTCTAACGACTGCAAAATATGACACATAAAGCTACTTTTTAAATTACACGTTGGCCACTACCCGCTGGTTAATAGCCGTTTGAAATAGGTTTCCCTTCAACTGATTCATTTCAAAACGCCTATAAATACCACTACAAGAAAAAATCAAGGTCCGCGACTAAAAATTCCATCGTGAATCGCGTTTGGTGACAGAATTTTCCATAGCAAAGCATACGCGTTTGCCCAGTAACTCGAGTCAGTAATGTAGTCAATGACTCCTTTTCATCATCTAATAATCGATATTCATTAATTAATGCATATTAATTATGTTGTGACAAAAATTAACAGAACCACCATTTGTATT